CACACACACACACACACACACACACAGACATAGGCTGCGGCCCGCCTGCTGCACCAGTGCGGTCTGCGGGGCACGGAGGGGGACATGCACCACCAGGACCGCGCGCTGCTGGAGCGGGCCGACGCGCTGGCCGACAAGCTGGACGCGCTGCATCTCATACTCAACGTGCAGGCGAGACGGGTGAGCGACACACACACACACACACACACACAGACATAGGCTGCGGCCCGCCTGCTGCACCAGTGCGGTCTGCGGGGCACGGAGGGGGACATGCACCACCAGGACCGCGCGCTGCTGGAGCGGGCCGACGCGCTGGCCGACAAGCTGGACGCGCTGCATCTCATACTCAACGTGCAGGCGAGACGGGTGAGCGACACACACACACACACACACACACACACAGACATAGGCTGCGGCCCGCCTGCTGCACCAGTGCGGTCTGCGGGGCACGGAGGGGGACATGCACCACCAGGACCGCGCGCTGCTGGAGCGGGCCGACGCGCTGGCCGACAAGCTGGACGCGCTGCATCTCATACTCAACGTGCAGGCGAGACGGGTGAGCGACACACACACACACACACACACAGACATAGGCTGCGGCCCGCCTGCTGCACCAGTGCGGTCTGCGGGGCACGGAGGGGGACATGCACCACCAGGACCGCGCGCTGCTGGAGCGGGCCGACGCGCTGGCCGACAAGCTGGACGCGCTGCATCTCATACTCAACGTGCAGGCGAGACGGGTGAGCGACACACACACACACACACACACACAGACATAGGCTGCGGCCCGCCTGCTGCACCAGTGCGGTCTGCGGGGCACGGAGGGGGACATGCACCACCAGGACCGCGCGCTGCTGGAGCGGGCCGACGCGCTGGCCGACAAGCTGGACGCGCTGCATCTCATACTCAACGTGCAGGCGAGACGGGTGAGCGACACACACACACACACACACACACAGACATAGGCTGCGGCCCGCCTGCTGCACCAGTGCGGTCTGCGGGGCACGGAGGGGGACATGCACCACCAGGACCGCGCGCTGCTGGAGCGGGCCGACGCGCTGGCCGACAAGCTGGACGCGCTGCATCTCATACTCAACGTGCAGGCGAGACGGGTGAGCGACACACACACACACACACACACACAGACATAGGCTGCGGCCCGCCTGCTGCACCAGTGCGGTCTGCGGGGCACGGAGGGGGACATGCACCACCAGGACCGCGCGCTGCTGGAGCGGGCCGACGCGCTGGCCGACAAGCTGGACGCGCTGCATCTCATACTCAACGTGCAGGCGAGACGGGTGAGCGACACACACACACACACACACACACACACAGACATAGGCTGCGGCCCGCCTGCTGCACCAGTGCGGTCTGCGGGGCACGGAGGGGGACATGCACCACCAGGACCGCGCGCTGCTGGAGCGGGCCGACGCGCTGGCCGACAAGCTGGACGCGCTGCATCTCATACTCAACGTGCAGGCGAGACGGGTGAGCGACACACACACACACACACACACACACAGACATAGGCTGCGGCCCGCCTGCTGCACCAGTGCGGTCTGCGGGGCACGGAGGGGGACATGCACCACCAGGACCGCGCGCTGCTGGAGCGGGCCGACGCGCTGGCCGACAAGCTGGACGCGCTGCATCTCATACTCAACGTGCAGGCGAGACGGGTGAGCGACACACACACACACACACACACACACACAGACATAGGCTGCGGCCCGCCTGCTGCACCAGTGCGGTCTGCGGGGCACGGAGGGGGACATGCACCACCAGGACCGCGCGCTGCTGGAGCGGGCCGACGCGCTGGCCGACAAGCTGGACGCGCTGCATCTCATACTCAACGTGCAGGCGAGACGGGTGAGCGACACACACACACACACACACACACACACAGACATAGGCTGCGGCCCGCCTGCTGCACCAGTGCGGTCTGCGGGGCACGGAGGGGGACATGCACCACCAGGACCGCGCGCTGCTGGAGCGGGCCGACGCGCTGGCCGACAAGCTGGACGCGCTGCATCTCATACTCAACGTGCAGGCGAGACGGGTGAGCGACACACACACACACACACACACACACACAGACATAGGCTGCGGCCCGCCTGCTGCACCAGTGCGGTCTGCGGGGCACGGAGGGGGACATGCACCACCAGGACCGCGCGCTGCTGGAGCGGGCCGACGCGCTGGCCGACAAGCTGGACGCGCTGCATCTCATACTCAACGTGCAGGCGAGACGGGTGAGCGACACACACACACACACACACACACACACACACAGACATAGGCTGCGGCCCGCCTGCTGCACCAGTGCGGTCTGCGGGGCACGGAGGGGGACATGCACCACCAGGACCGCGCGCTGCTGGAGCGGGCCGACGCGCTGGCCGACAAGCTGGACGCGCTGCATCTCATACTCAACGTGCAGGCGAGACGGGTGAGCGACACACACACACACACACACACAGACATAGGCTGCGGCCCGCCTGCTGCACCAGTGCGGTCTGCGGGGCACGGAGGGGGACATGCACCACCAGGACCGCGCGCTGCTGGAGCGGGCCGACGCGCTGGCCGACAAGCTGGACGCGCTGCATCTCATACTCAACGTGCAGGCGAGACGGGTGAGCGACACACACACACACACACACACACACACACACAGACATAGGCTGCGGCCCGCCTGCTGCACCAGTGCGGTCTGCGGGGCACGGAGGGGGACATGCACCACCAGGACCGCGCGCTGCTGGAGCGGGCCGACGCGCTGGCCGACAAGCTGGACGCGCTGCATCTCATACTCAACGTGCAGGCGAGACGGGTGAGCGACACACACACACACACACACACACACACAGACATAGGCTGCGGCCCGCCTGCTGCACCAGTGCGGTCTGCGGGGCACGGAGGGGGACATGCACCACCAGGACCGCGCGCTGCTGGAGCGGGCCGACGCGCTGGCCGACAAGCTGGACGCGCTGCATCTCATACTCAACGTGCAGGCGAGACGGGTGAGCGACACACACACACACACACACACACACACAGACATAGGCTGCGGCCCGCCTGCTGCACCAGTGCGGTCTGCGGGGCACGGAGGGGGACATGCACCACCAGGACCGCGCGCTGCTGGAGCGGGCCGACGCGCTGGCCGACAAGCTGGACGCGCTGCATCTCATACTCAACGTGCAGGCGAGACGGGTGAGCGACACACACACACACACACACACACAGACATAGGCTGCGGCCCGCCTGCTGCACCAGTGCGGTCTGCGGGGCACGGAGGGGGACATGCACCACCAGGACCGCGCGCTGCTGGAGCGGGCCGACGCGCTGGCCGACAAGCTGGACGCGCTGCATCTCATACTCAACGTGCAGGCGAGACGGGTGAGCGACACACACACACACACACACACACACAGACATAGGCTGCGGCCCGCCTGCTGCACCAGTGCGGTCTGCGGGGCACGGAGGGGGACATGCACCACCAGGACCGCGCGCTGCTGGAGCGGGCCGACGCGCTGGCCGACAAGCTGGACGCGCTGCATCTCATACTCAACGTGCAGGCGAGACGGGTGAGCGACACACACACACACACACACACACAGACATAGGCTGCGGCCCGCCTGCTGCACCAGTGCGGTCTGCGGGGCACGGAGGGGGACATGCACCACCAGGACCGCGCGCTGCTGGAGCGGGCCGACGCGCTGGCCGACAAGCTGGACGCGCTGCATCTCATACTCAACGTGCAGGCGAGACGGGTGAGCGACACACACACACACACACACACACAGACATAGGCTGCGGCCCGCCTGCTGCACCAGTGCGGTCTGCGGGGCACGGAGGGGGACATGCACCACCAGGACCGCGCGCTGCTGGAGCGGGCCGACGCGCTGGCCGACAAGCTGGACGCGCTGCATCTCATACTCAACGTGCAGGCGAGACGGGTGAGCGACACACACACACACACACACACACACAGACATAGGCTGCGGCCCGCCTGCTGCACCAGTGCGGTCTGCGGGGCACGGAGGGGGACATGCACCACCAGGACCGCGCGCTGCTGGAGCGGGCCGACGCGCTGGCCGACAAGCTGGACGCGCTGCATCTCATACTCAACGTGCAGGCGAGACGGGTGAGCGACACACACACACACACACACACACAGACATAGGCTGCGGCCCGCCTGCTGCACCAGTGCGGTCTGCGGGGCACGGAGGGGGACATGCACCACCAGGACCGCGCGCTGCTGGAGCGGGCCGACGCGCTGGCCGACAAGCTGGACGCGCTGCATCTCATACTCAACGTGCAGGCGAGACGGGTGAGCGACACACACACACACACACACACACACACACACACAGACATAGGCTGCGGCCCGCCTGCTGCACCAGTGCGGTCTGCGGGGCACGGAGGGGGACATGCACCACCAGGACCGCGCGCTGCTGGAGCGGGCCGACGCGCTGGCCGACAAGCTGGACGCGCTGCATCTCATACTCAACGTGCAGGCGAGACGGGTGAGCGACACACACACACACACACACACACACACACACAGACATAGGCTGCGGCCCGCCTGCTGCACCAGTGCGGTCTGCGGGGCACGGAGGGGGACATGCACCACCAGGACCGCGCGCTGCTGGAGCGGGCCGACGCGCTGGCCGACAAGCTGGACGCGCTGCATCTCATACTCAACGTGCAGGCGAGACGGGTGAGCGACACACACACACACACACACACACACACACACAGACATAGGCTGCGGCCCGCCTGCTGCACCAGTGCGGTCTGCGGGGCACGGAGGGGGACATGCACCACCAGGACCGCGCGCTGCTGGAGCGGGCCGACGCGCTGGCCGACAAGCTGGACGCGCTGCATCTCATACTCAACGTGCAGGCGAGACGGGTGAGCGACACACACACACACACACACACACACACACACAGACATAGGCTGCGGCCCGCCTGCTGCACCAGTGCGGTCTGCGGGGCACGGAGGGGGACATGCACCACCAGGACCGCGCGCTGCTGGAGCGGGCCGACGCGCTGGCCGACAAGCTGGACGCGCTGCATCTCATACTCAACGTGCAGGCGAGACGGGTGAGCGACACACACACACACACACACACACACACACACACAGACATAGGCTGCGGCCCGCCTGCTGCACCAGTGCGGTCTGCGGGGCACGGAGGGGGACATGCACCACCAGGACCGCGCGCTGCTGGAGCGGGCCGACGCGCTGGCCGACAAGCTGGACGCGCTGCATCTCATACTCAACGTGCAGGCGAGACGGGTCAGACAAATAAACACTTAACGAACATAACCGATTCTATTCTAAGTGTGTTCGTCCTGTATGCCTATTGCCAACAATGTTTTCTTTGATTAATTTCATAATACCACCGCGGCCAAGTGGTATGAACGCTGGATGTCAAGATGACACCTTCTCGAGAGGTCCCGTGTTCAAATCCGAGTGTTTGTGTGATGAATTTAAGCTTTTGTATTCCAGTCATGGATGGTTAATATCTATTTCTATGTAAATATGCTTATATATGTATCAGCATAATGTATTTTATCCGTTACCCTAATATCCCAAAACACGATCATCCAGTGCTTACTTTAGGGGTAGGCTAAATGTGTGTTAAAAAAAAAAACACTCCTTCGCTTTTTAAATCCCTCCCGCGCCAAAGGCCCAGACATATCAGCCCGCCACAATTTTCCATGCTTAATGAGTGGTGTAATGATTAAAAAAAAAGAACATTGTCATTTACGAACTCTTCGCTACCACAGCACAGAAATGTTTCATACATTTCAAATTCTTAGAACGCCCCTTGGTTTCAGATTTTTTTATGGAGGATTTATATCATAAGTGTACATAAAGTTGGTAGAAATGTGATACTATTTTAACTCACATTCGTGTTAAAATACCTTTCATTGTGCAATCAATAACAGTTGCATAAATAACAATAAAATTATGAACGTTCAACACATTTTCAATTCTATCTAAACTACTAAAGCGCACATTTTCTTTCACCTCCAGATCAAAGATTTGGGATTCGAATTCGAAATAACCACGGAGGAAGTACCGGAGTCGGAGCCATCTCTCGGCACCTCCAAGAAGCCGCGCCTCTCCGACCCCACCGCGATGGTTGTCAACGAAGACTCTGCAAGTGACGGACAGACAGACATAGACGCCTTCAATACCTGGGCCGAAAACGCACTCAAAGAAATCGAACAGGTAATTTACTTTTCTACTCATTAAAGGTTACTTACGAATTAATAGATGTTATTAAAAGAGAAATGTGTGATCGAATGAAGCTAATATGTTGGACTTGTTTCTATCTTATTTATTAAAAAGAGTTCATATGAAAGATTAAGTATGCGTTTTTTTTTAATAATTTTTGATGAGAAGAAATACTGTCAATAAATCCCGCCGGAGGCGCAGGTGTCGGATGGACCATAACAACAAATCGAGATAGCTGTCAAAATCACAGAAAAATCGACAAATTCCAATAGACTTGGGCTTTGGCTGCGTTCCAAACCTACGCTACCGGTGATATAAATGTCAAATTTGACATAGGTTTCATACATTTTATGTCAAAATTAAACCGTCAAGGTAAAAAGCTGCACTCAGAACGTAATTTTAGAACGCAGCTTTAAAGTGACAGGTTGCTTGTTATATGCCAAACGGCCAAAGCGCCATCTGTAATGAGCTTTGCGTTTTGTTCCACATTCCACATTTTTGGAGATTATTGAAAGGTAGAAATGTGTTTCGAATGAAGCCGATATGTTGGACCTGTGATTGTGACTACCTTAATTGAAAAGAGTTTAATTTTTGAAGTATTAGGTATCCATTTTTTTAAAGAATATGTAATTCAGACAATTCTTCCTTTATTTAATATTATTAAATTATTCTTTTTTTATTTAATGTAAACTTTGTAGCAAACAAGCATGTTTTAAACTCGCAATAAGTCTCCAACAAAGCCTATAGGCGCTTGTGATAGTCTCGTTTGTGATACCAGAGACTATCACTCATCATTGAATCACGCCACAAATCACTCCCACTTTGGAAAAGTTATTTAAAAGATTCCAGAGGTGGCTGAGTATTTTTGTTTATTAAAATAAAAAAAAAAATACTAAAAATAAAGGAATGATAAATGATTAAAATAAGTATTTCTATAACACAAATTATTATTGTTTAGTGTAAAAAAGATTGCGAGGCGACGGAATCGAGACAGAAATCGACAGCGACTTTGGACAGGATCGGTAAAGAACTGGAGGCGAGACGCAACAACACACACGGTTAGTAGTTATCATCCGCTGTCAGTCGATAACGCTCATACTCACGATTTTGCCTTCTTCATATATACATACAACATAAAAGCAGAATTCTAAGACTACAACACTTGTCGCATTATTCCGAAACGCGGACTAAAGTTTATCGTGGTTTAAACCTGATGCTGGTGCCAACTCTGGCATGATTCTCTTAAGTTCAAACTAATTTAACATCAGTCTCTTCTTTTCTTCTGTATAGAGAATGACTAAGATACACTGTTGTCAAATTTAAGTGTATGTTTAGAGAACCATGCCCGAATCGACACCAAAGTCTCAGTCTTCTTATTAGCAAACAAAAATGACAGCATCAGTTTAAATTAGGTTTAGCTTTAGTCAACGTTGTATAATAAGGCGGATAAAGATTAATGATTTTATTTAACAAAATTTATGTAATTTTTATTATTCTTATCATAAAAAAATATTCAAAGAAATATTATACCTCAAGAAATATGTTCAAATTAAGATTTAGCTAGAAAATAATCCATTTATGTTACAGAATCGAACGAACAATTCCAAAACGTAGAACGAAGCTTACAAGAAACGAGAAGTATATCAAACGCTTTGAACGAAAAGGACGAGTTGGTAGAACGAGCTCGTCCGTTACGAGAACAATTGGAAGAGATCGAGACGTGGCGCGACAAGTGGCGACAAGTGGCACCCTCTGCCAACCAACTCATACATTTGAGGAACAGACTACGTAGCCTTCGACAAATGAGGCCCGCGTTAGACGAACTAGCGGCGAAAGCGATAATATTACTGACCAAACCTCTCCCCGAATCGGATCGAAACGCCGTCGACGCTGAATCGAAACTCGTGAAACAGCGATACGAACAACTCTTGTCTTCCTTGAGCGATAGAGAGGGAGAGATCAAGCTCGCACTCGCTCGGAACACCGACGATCCCCGAGCGAGATTCGATGCCTTCAGGAATAAAATAGCAGCGTTAGAAACGAAAATATTGACAGAACACGCACTCCTCGCAGAACCAAACGAGACGGAACACCAACTCGAAAGATTAATTCTTCTCAGGAAGGAATTTGATGATTTACAGAGCACTCATGATGCTGTGGTCGCGGAAAGACGAAATACAGACCACAGAGGCAGCCTCGAGCAGTTAGACTTTAGGAGTAGTGTTGAGAATCTAGTCACCAAGTTTGGCGATTCCAGAACCATATTGGACCAGAAGATTGGAAAACTGCAAACTGGTTTGTGTATACATTTGATTTACTTGCATTTTGAAACTGGCAGCTTGAGATCCCTATGACAGAATTTAATCTTTTTATTTAAACCAAACTTTGGGATTTTTATTAACAGTTTTCAGTTTCTGTACCACAGATTTTTTGTGTACCTTTCTCAAAAGATTATTGTTGCATTCTTTAAAAAATTAAAAGAGTGTGAAAGTAAAGAGTTAACTCTTTATTATATTTTCTTTCGTAGGTTTAAGTCTACTTAAGCAGCTGAAGGAAGACACTCAAAGTGTTCGGAAATGGTTGGACAGCGTGGAGAAGTTCGTTAGTGAAAACGACGTCATTCCTGTGGGGGACGTGGAACAATTGGACAAGTTGCTCGACGCTAGTAACGTGAGATTTACTGACAATATTTTGTATGAGCGTTAAAGTGTTTATTTTTAAATAAAATCTGTGTAAAAAGATAGTGGAACGAAAGGATAACTGGCAGTTGATTTAGATCAAGCATGCAATTTTATGACACATTGAACAGGTTAAGTAGTTATGAAATGAAAAAAAAATACATATTTAAGCAACAGGTTTTTTTTAATTTTAAAATTACGACGATTTCACCTTCTAAAGATTTGATAATAATAGGCACACAGATAACGGTGCCGATTCTGGCATACTACTCTAAACTTCAAACTAAATTGAACACCAGTCTCCTTCTCATTCTGCATAGAGAATGACAAAGATGTCGTCAAGTTTAATTTGAGGTTTAGAGAACAATGCCAAAGTCGACACCATTGTAAGTATTTATATAATATAAATATGATCTTTGACTTCAATTCAGAAATATGACGACGAAAAGAAAGAGTACGCGGAAAAACTGAAAGCAGTAGACGAAGCCAAAGCGACCATTCTAGAAGACTGCGAGGACACACTGTCCAAGGCGGTCCAAGCCGACACCAAAGACTTGAGGAAGCGATTCGACGAAATCAACGAGAAAGCATTCAAACTGAATGAAGGATTGCGCAGAGCGTTAGAAAAGAGCGAGGATATATTTAGGAGAATGGATGAGATGGAAGAATGGTTGGGGAAGATAGAATCGCAGCTGCCCACTGAGGAAGAGTGTGGGATTAGTGATTCGGGGGAACTGTACAAGATGAAGACTCGATTTCAAGGGATGAAGGACCAGTGTGATAATAGAACCGATGATTTTAGAGACCTCAACGAGACTGGTGAGTCGGCTTTTTATATTAAGTCATGTTTCTTTTAATTTATTTCTAGTTTTGATTATTTTTAATAAACTACTTCTTATTAAACCCCAAAAATACTTATAATAATGAATGTAGCACTAGTTGGTGCTTTAATGTGTACCCAAACGTGCCTGTGGGTCTTCGGTTTGTGTGGTGCGATCTTGTCATATGGGTATTCCTGGACAGAATAACGTAGAAGCGTTATTAGTTCGTATATATTGTTACGTGTCGGGATGGGGTTCGAAATAATATGCCAGTTCACGTTTGACAGTACTTTATTCACCACACAGTTAACACACAATGTTAATCACAATACACTCACTAAACACTGTACTTCACTATAAAAGTCTTTAAACAATCGCACTTGAATAGTACTTGCACTTTAATTACTTACTTTAACACTTTAATTAGTAATTACCAGTTTTTATTTTATCTGCGTGAAATGAGTAAAATTTTACATTTCGTATTAAACAGGTAACACCGGTGACGAATGATTCAAAAATATCGAAAATCAGTAGATTTTCCGTATTATGCGACTTGAAAGTCGAAGGTGACTTATTCAATTCAATTCAAATTATTTATTTCAGAACTAGGTTTCATAGTGTTAGTTACAATTGATTTACTTATGAATATGTTATGTATAATAAAGAATTACATAAATATTACTTTTGGGTATGAAGCTTCACCCAGTGTCGTAGCAGAGGAGTGTCCCACCGGTCATTAAATACTTTCAGGAGGCTGTTGGTACTAGAGCGGATCCTAGTGAGCATAGAAGCAGACCTCTTTCTAATAATGGCATAAAAGTCGTCTGTATGCGCCTCCGCAAACATTTTTGACGCGCTGCAACTCCGCGCCGGTCTCAACAGTATCCTGAAGGCGTTGTTATATTGAATACGCAGGTCGCTGTATGCCCGCTGCGTATAGTGCAGCCCAGACGAGTGATTCAAAAATAGAACTCCAGATGTCATTGCACTTTCTCTCGTATGCCGCAAGGCATAAGGCTTATATTGATCTTTAACCCGAACATTCACGTCGTCGCGACCTGCGGTGTTCTGGTAAATTCTGTTTTCAGTATTTTTGCGGTTTTGTTTCGAGAGCGTTTGTGACGATATAATGATGTCGATTCTGGCATGATTCTCTAAAGCTAAACTTAAATTTGACAACAGTGCATCCCTGTCATTCTCTATACAGAATGAAAAGGAGAGACTGATGTTAAATTTAGTTTTAAGTTTAGAGAATCACGCCAGAATCGACACCAATATTAGCTGTTCTTGATTCATTTTAAATGTCGTTATTCAAAGAGCATCCAGGGTTTTTTCTCTTCAGGTCCTGCACATTTACACTACATACACATACATTGAAATACAGATTTAAATATTATATTATGCACTTCCGGACACATCTATCGGCTACATAGAATTTAAAGTTTTGACTGTCCCTAGCTAAAAATAACAAAAAAATATTACCTACGCACTTTTAGCCACTTTTTTGTGTTTTGAAAATTATCGAACCATAAATATATTTTTTTGCCATAGACCATTGAAACTTATAACATTACATGAGCCGTTAGGTATGCCCGGAAGTATATTTGACGCATACCCAGGTAGTATTAGTTGGTACACGATCGTGTTTGTCCACGTGTAGGTCACGAGATCCTCGTGTCGGCGGAGCGCCGGCCCGGGGCGCTGGCGCGGCGCCTCACGCACCTCAACGCGCGCTGGACCATAGTCACGCACGGAGTCTACGAGCGATACAAGTCGGTCTACACAATTATCTCATAATAAATAAATATATATATCCAACACTCACGCCAATGAGGGCTATCGTTTTTTGTCTCACCAGATGGCGCCACTGTCGAGTGAGGTCCTGAAGTGTAACTTTTAAAGTTAGTAAACACGCTCGTGTTATCAAAGTTTACATTTTAATACAAAAGAATCGTATCTTAAACATAATCGCCCATGCCACAGTGTTGCGCAGTCCCGTTTTGTTCGGAAAAAAGAAGGACAATATTTTTTCTTAGCTCCGCTTTTAAATAACTGACAATCGTTGACACGTAACTCATATTTGCCATAATAAGTCTGATTTATTACCAAATATTCACAACTATTATTTTAATTAGAAAAAAACCGCGTAGTGAACCCGCAAGCTATAACATTTGACATTTCGGAGACCTCACGCAACACAAGCGCCTCTAGCGGCGGTTTCAGACGCGATAACCCTCATTAGCCTAGCCCCAAAGGAAGCACTATGAGGCTTGTGTTATGGGATACTATATTAACGGATAGAATACATATACTGTACATAAATAAGTATATTTATATATAAATACTCTATTCAACTACATCTAGACAAAAGGTAAACTAACCATGGCAAGGTTTTTCGATAGATCCAACTTTATATGCATATAAAATGACAATAAAAAAGTGACATGCAAAGACTAAAACTGTAGCTATTCCCTAACTTTTAACGCATTATAATACTAATAAATTGAAGAGTATGTGATAGAGCAAATGATTCACGTTAAAATGAAAATTTAAAATCAGTGTGGTGACACCGGCCATCTTTATTTGTTTATTTACGATAAAAAAGTTTTAGAAACATCGGTTCATTTGATTGCATTTTGTGTCAGGGGAAGTTGAATAAAGTATAGGCTTTGGGAGTTCAAGTTGGACTTTTTACTTTTCTAGCTTAGAACAAGAACTAAAACATAGAAGTACGGCTATGACGTTTTAGCATATACTCTCATAAACAATCTATCAACGAAAATACTTACAAACAAACTATTACTCAACCAAAAAGTATTAGTAGTGTGTGGTGGTGCATCGTGGTTGCTTTTGACATAATACCGCCTTTTGAATCGGTATTATAAAGGTAACCAAGGCAAACATATCCATAGGTAATTTGAGCATTTGTATAGTGGTACTTACGCTGATCATAGTAACATATATTTGTCCCTTTTTAGTCTATATCTAAAGCTAAGATAACTATATTATTTGACTTTATCACTCTAATAAATAAACGAGGAATAAGCTTGGATTAGTTACTCCATATTTTGCCTTTGTTCATTGAATGACAAATGGCATTTGAATGATATGATCAAAACATGGCGTTACTAATCTTAGCTTATTCTTAGTTTAAACTAAAACTCTTTCTATGCTTTGGTTCTGAGGGACAGAGTTTAGTTTTATGTTACACTAGCTCCCGCTCTCAAATTTGTTCGCGTTATATATGGTTAGTTTCTGAAAATCCTACAGTAATCTGACCTTTGCCGAGATTTGAAATAAACATAAAAATGTGTCATTTTATGTAATTAACGTGTGCTAGATTTCAACTCAATCTTTCTAGCAATTTTTGGGTGATTGAATAACACACAAACATTCATGGTTAAAATATCGAGCCCTTACCGCCAAATTATCGTAAGCGACATTCGCCAAATTATCGTAAGCCACACTTTTGTCGAAATGCGTTTTTTGTGGAAACTAATATTTTAAACCGTAACGGACCCATCTCTGTTGATATTTCCCTCCAAAAGAACACCGTAATAATATAATAGAGGTAAGAATAGAGGGAAGAATAGAGGGAAATATCAACAGAGATGGGTCCGTTACGGTTTAAAATATTAGTTTCCACAAAAAACGCATTTCGACAAAAGTGTCGCTTACGATAATTTAGCGAGTGTCGCTTACGATAATTTGGCGGTAAGGGCTCGATATGTGTACGATTAACATTCGTTTAAATTAAAGCAAATTTATTTATGCTTAGTTTCATTTACAAGTTTTTAATTGGTAAATAGCTGTTTTATAACAAATCGTGAAATGTTAAATTTAGATTCTTTATTTGTTTTTACTTAAAATTTTGGTAATATTACAAGATTTTTATTTTCATGAGGTGGAAATAAAATAATTTTGATTTATCTGCACAATTTGCTATGTCTGATTTCTTAAAGTACGGTATTCTACCTTGCAATCTTTGTGGAGTCGTTTTAGGATAGAGTAGAGAGTCTCGAATGCGAAACAAATAAACTGCGATCTAGTGGGCGAATAAATGCGATCAACACACCGATCAAAGGATTGGTTGAGACATCAGTTTAACATCATCTTACCCAATGAATGGATAGTCGAATTTATTTACAGATGCATATTTGATTTGTCAAAGTATTTTGTTTTGTCTTTGTGAGTGTCGCCTTAGTATTAAAGTCTAGCTGTATGAGTTTGGAAGCATGGTTTAGCGGTCTTTGTTAGAGAGTAATGCTTCCATATCAGTTCTAATTCATTGGTGGTATCGTATGACAGAATCCTAGCGGAGGCGTGGCATGAAACGAGCGAGTTGCGCGCGTGGGTTTCACAGGAGAACGCGTGGTTGGACGGACTACACAGGATACTGCGACGCTCTGCCACCCCCCGCACTAACCCGACCGATGCCGAGGATATGTGGGCCGAGCTGGGCGTGAGTACATACACACTACACTACACTACACTACACTACACTACACACTACCAGAACGCGTGGTTGGACGGACTACACAGGATACTGCGACGCTCTGCCACCCCCCGCACTAACCCGACCGATGCCGAGGATATGTGGGCCGAGCTGGGCGTGAGTACATACACACTACACTACACTACACTACACTACACACTACCAGAACGCGTGGTTGGACGGACTACACAGGATACTGCGACGCTCTGCCACCCCCCGCACTAACCCGACCGATGCCGAGGATATGTGGGCCGAGCTGGGCGTGAGTACATACACACTACACTACACTACACTACACTACACTACACACTACCAGAACGCGTGGTTGGACGGACTACACAGGATACTGCGACGCTCTGCCACCCCCCGCACTAACCCGACCGATGCCGAGGATATGTGGGCCGAGCTGGGCGTGAGTACATACACACTACACTACACTACACTACACTACACTACACACTACCAGAACGCGTGGTTGGACGGACTACACAGGATACTGCGACGCTCTGCCACCCCCCGCACTAACCCGACCGATGCCGAGGATATGTGGGCCGAGCTGGGCGTGAGTACATACACACTACACTACACTACACTACACTACACTACACACTACCAGAACGCGTGGTTGGACGGACTACACAGGATACTGCGACGCTCTGCCACCCCCCGCACTAACCCGACCGATGCCGAGGATATGTGGGCCGAGCTGGGCGTGAGTACATACACACTACACTACACTACACTACACTACACTACACACTACCAGAACGCGTGGTTGGACGGACTACACAGGATACTGCGACGCTCTGCCACCCCCCGCACTAACCCGACCGATGCCGAGGATATGTGGGCCGAGCTGGGCGTGAGTACATACACACTACACTACACTACACTACACTACACACTACCAGAACGCGTGGTTGGACGGACTACACAGGATACTGCGACGCTCTGCCACCCCCCGCACTAACCCGACCGATGCCGAGGATATGTGGGCCGAGCTGGGCGTGAGTACATACACACTACACTACACTACACTACACTACACACTACCAGAACGCGTGGTTGGACGGACTACACAGGATACTGCGACGCTCTGCCACCCCCCGCACTAACCCGACCGATGCCGAGGATATGTGGGCCGAGCTGGGCGTGAGTACATACACACTACACTACACTACACTACACTACACTACACACTACCAGAACGCGTGGTTGGACGGACTACACAGGATACTGCGACGCTCTGCCACCCCCCGCACTAACCCGACCGATGCCGAGGATATGTGGGCCGAGCTGGGCGTGAGTACATACACACTACACTACACTACACTACACTACACACTACCAGAACGCGTGGTTGGACGGACTACACAGGATACTGCGACGCTCTGCCACCCCCCGCACTAACCCGACCGATGCCGAGGATATGTGGGCCGAGCTGGGCGTGAGTACATACACACTACACTACACTACACTACACTACACACTACCAGAACGCGTGGTTGGACGGACTACACAGGATACTGCGACGCTCTGCCACCCCCCGCACTAACCCGACCGATGCCGAGGATATGTGGGCCGAGCTGGGCGTGAGTACATACACACTACACTACACTACACTACACTACACACTACCAGAACGCGTGGTTGGACGGACTACACAGGATACTGCGACGCTCTGCCACCCCCCGCACTAACCCGACCGATGCCGAGGATATGTGGGCCGAGCTGGGCGTGAGTACATACACACTACACTACACTACACTACACTACACACTACCAGAACGCGTGGTTGGACGGACTACACAGGATACTGCGACGCTCTGCCACCCCCCGCACTAACCCGACCGATGCCGAGGATATGTGGGCCGAGCTGGGCGTGAGTACATACACACTACACTACACTACACTACACTACACACTACCAGAACGCGTGGTTGGACGGACTACACAGGATACTGCGACGCTCTGCCACCCCCCGCACTAACCCGACCGATGCCGAGGATATGTGGGCCGAGCTGGGCGTGAGTACATACACACTACACTACACTACACTACACTACACTACACACTACCAGAACGCGTGGTTGGACGGACTACACAGGATACTGCGACGCTCTGCCACCCCCCGCACTAACCCGACCGATGCCGAGGATATGTGGGCCGAGCTGGGCGTGAGTACATACACACTACACTACACTACACTACACTACACTACACACTACCAGAACGCGTGGTTGGACGGACTACACAGGATACTGCGACGCTCTGCCACCCCCCGCACTAACCCGACCGATGCCGAGGATATGTGGGCCGAGCTGGGCGTGAGTACATACACACTACACTACACTACACTACACTACACTACACACTACCAGAACGCGTGGTTGGACGGACTACACAGGATACTGCGACGCTCTGCCACCCCCCGCACTAACCCGACCGATGCCGAGGATATGTGGGCCGAGCTGGGCGTGAGTACATACACACTACACTACACACTACCAGAACGCGTGGTTGGACGGACTACACAGGATACTGCGACGCTCTGCCACCCCCCGCACTAACCCGACCGATGCCGAGGATATGTGGGCCGAGCTGGGCGTGAGTACATACACACTACACTACACTACACTACACTACACACTACCAGAACGCGTGGTTGGACGGACTACACAGGATACTGCGACGCTCTGCCACCCCCCGCACTAACCCGACCGATGCCGAGGATATGTGGGCCGAGCTGGGCGTGAGTACATACACACTACACTACACTACACTACACTACACACTACCAGAACGCGTGGTTGGACGGACTACACAGGATACTGCGACGCTCTGCCACCCCCCGCACTAACCCGACCGATGCCGAGGATATGTGGGCCGAGCTGGGCGTGAGTACACACACACTACACTACACTACACTACACTACACACTACCAGAACGCGTGGTTGGACGGACTACACAGGATACTGCGACGCTCTGCCACCCCCCGCACTAACCCGACCGATGCCGAGGATATGTGGGCCGAGCTGGGCGTGAGTACATACACACTACACTACACTACACTACACTACACTACACACTACCAGAACGCGTGGTTGGACGGACTACACAGGATACTGCGACGCTCTGCCACCCCCCGCACTAACCCGACCGATGCCGAGGATATGTGGGCCGAGCTGGGCGTGAGTACATACACACTACACTACACTACACTACACTACACACTACCAGAACGCGTGGTTGGACGGACTACACAGGATACTGCGACGCTCTGCCACCCCCCGCACTAACCCGACCGATGCCGAGGATATGTGGGCCGAGCTGGGCGTGAGTACACACACACTACACTACACTACACTACACTACACACTACCAGAACGCGTGGTTGGACGGACTACACAGTTTATTCTCATATTTCTTTGCTAGCTGGAAAACTTAGATCAGCAGCCTATGCCGTACCTAAAATAAAACAGCTTCAGTAAGCTAGAACTGTAGAATGTAATACTTCAGTTACTTTCATAGTACTGTATCCTGTGGTATTATTCTCTGGGGAATAATAGCCGATATTGAATCTATTTTTATCTTGCAAAAAAGAGCTACAAGGGCTATTTATCAAATAAGTTCTAAAACATCTCTTACAGGAAATTTTGGAGAAATCGGGAGGGGTGAAAAATAGTTTAGAAGAGAACCTTGCACTTACTCCCTTTCATATACTTGCTCAATTTCTTTTGAAAATAGTTTTTTACTACTTTGGGACTTTTCTTTACACTTATTGTTAATAAATACATTTACGAATTTACTTGTTTATTGTTACCTATTTGACATTATGTGAAAGAAGTCGACCTCAACACATGTTTGCAAGTTTGATGACAGGTTTCAATTTGACGATACTGTATTAAATAAAAAAGGGAGAAAAAAGCAGCCCTTGCTGAGTTTCTTGTCGGTTCTTCTCGGTACAAGGTCTCCCGCCGTAGTTATGCGAACCGATGGCTTAGTTTTCGACTTTCACATGTGCTTGATAAAATCCTAAACTGAATAAATGATTTTTGAATCGAATTGATATTTGTCAGGAACTGGAAAGCTACGTGCAGAACCACGACTCGGCGCGCGTCGCTCGCATCCAGGCCGTGGGCCGCCAGCTCGTCGCCGCACACATCATGCCGGCCTCCATACGGGCCGACCTCGACAACATGGCGGCCAGGACCCAACTACTGACGGCACAGGTCACTGATACTGTATACTCACCGCCCACATCATGCCGGCCTCCATACGGGCCGACCTCGACAACATGGCGGCCAGGACCCAACTACTGACGGCACAGGTCACTGATACTGTATACTCACCGCCCACATCATGCCGGCCTCCATACGGGCCGACCTCGACAACATGGCGGCCAGGACCCAACTACTGACGGCACAGGTCACTGATACTGTATACTCACCGCCCACATCATGCCGGCCTCCATACGGGCCGACCTCGACAACATGGCGGCCAGGACCCAACTACTGACGGCACAGGTCACTGATACTGTATACTCACCGCCCACATCATGCCGGCCTCCATACGGGCCGACCTCGACAACATGGCGGCCAGGACCCAACTACTGACGGCACAGGTCACTGATACTGTATACTCACCGCCCACATCATGCCGGCCTCCATACGGGCCGACCTCGACAACATGGCGGCCAGGACCCAACTACTGACGGCACAGGTCACTGATACTGTATACTCACCGCCCACATCATGCCGGCCTCCATACGGGCCGACCTCGACAACATGGCGGCCAGGACCCAACTACTGACGGCACAGGTCACTGATACTGTATACTCACCGCCCACATCATGCCGGCCTCCATACGGGCCGACCTCGACAACATGGCGGCCAGGACCCAACTACTGACGGCACAGGTCACTGATACTGTATACTCACCGCCCACATCATGCCGGCCTCCATACGGGCCGACCTCGACAACATGGCGGCCAGGACCCAACTACTGACGGCACAGGTCACTGATACTGTATACTCACCGCCCACATCATGCCGGCCTCCATACGGGCCGACCTCGACAACATGGCGGCCAGGACCCAACTACTGACGGCACAGGTCACTGATACTGTATACTCACCGCCCACATCATGCCGGCCTCCATACGGGCCGACCTCGACAACATGGCGGCCAGGACCCAACTACTGACGGCACAGGTCACTGATACTGTATACTCACCGCCCACATCATGCCGGCCTCCATACGGGCCGACCTCGACAACATGGCGGCCAGGACCCAACTACTGACGGCACAGGTCACTGATACTGTATACTCACCGCCCACATCATGCCGGCCTCCATACGGGCCGACCTCGACAACATGGCGGCCAGGACCCAACTACTGACGGCACAGGTCACTGATACTGTATACTCACCGCCCACATCATGCCGGCCTCCATACGGGCCGACCTCGACAACATGGCGGCCAGGACCCAACTACTGACGGCACAGGTCACTGATACTGTATACTCACCGCCCACATCATGCCGGCCTCCATACGGGCCGACCTCGACAACATGGCGGCCAGGACCCAACTACTGACGGCACAGGTCACTGATACTGTATACTCACCGCCCACATCATGCCGGCCTCCATACGGGCCGACCTCGACAACATGGCGGCCAGGACCCAACTACTGACGGCACAGGTCACTGATACTGTATACTCACCGCCCACATCATGCCGGCCTCCATACGGGCCGACCTCGACAACATGGCGGCCAGGACCCAACTACTGACGGCACAGGTCACTGATACTGTATACTCACCGCCCACATCATGCCGGCCTCCATACGGGCCGACCTCGACAACATGGCGGCCAGGACCCAACTACTGACGGCACAGGTCACTGATACTGTATACTCACCGCCCACATCATGCCGGCCTCCATACGGGCCGACCTCGACAACATGGCGGCCAGGACCCAACTACTGACGGCACAGGTCACTGATACTGTATACTCACCGCCCACATCATGCCGGCCTCCATACGGGCCGACCTCGACAACATGGCGGCCAGGACCCAACTACTGACGGCACAGGTCACTGATACTGTATACTCACCGCCCACATCATGCCGGCCTCCATACGGGCCGACCTCGACAGCATGGCGGCCAGGACCCAACTACTGACGGCACAGGTCACTGATACTGTATACTCACCGCACACATCATGCCGGCCTCCATACGGGCCGACCTCGACAGCATGGCGGCCAGGACCCAACTACTGACGGCACAGGTCACTGATACTGTATACTCACCGCACACATCATGCCGGCCTCCATACGGGCCGACCTCGACAACATGGCGGCCAGGACCCAACTACTGACGGCACAGGTCACTGATACTGTATACTCACCGCCCACATCATGCCGGCCTCCATACGGGCCGACCTCGACAACATGGCGGCCAGGACCCAACTACTGACGGCACAGGTCACTGATACTGTATACTCACCGCCCACATCATGCCGGCCTCCATACGGGCCGACCTCGACAACATGGCGGCCAGGACCCAACTACTGACGGCACAGGTCACTGATACTGTATACTCACCGCACACATCATGCCGGCCTCCATACGGGCCGACCTCGACAACATGACGGCCATGGTTTCACTCGCGTTAATTTATGGAAAATGGTAATAGTGAGTCAAATTTAAAATATGCACATATGTGGTCGCGAACTTTTTTGTAGAATTTCAAAACTTTAATCGTTTACAATTGCAGCGCATGCAACAGAAGCTCTCAAATAGAAGATTTTTTTCTTATTTTTGTAACATTTTTTATCAATGCTCCTCTCCTATTGACTGTAGCTTGATGTTATATAGCCTATAGCTTTCCTCGATAAACGTCCTATCTAACACAAACATATTTTTTCGAATCGGACCAGCAGCAGATCCTGAACGCGTTCAACCAAACGAACAAACAACAAAACTTCACCTATAAAGTAGTATAGATATACAAATATTAGTTTTTTGAACTTTCTCAATATAAACTGATTACGCAGGCGGAGTCCCGTCGCCAAGTGCTGGAACAGTGCGCCCGCGAGGCGGCTCAATACGAAGTGCGCGTGGAGGAACTGCAGTCGTGGCTCACCACCGCCCTGGAGGCGGGCCCTCATCAGCAGGCTAACGCCAGGGAACAGCTGCCGAGCCAGCTGCACCTGCTGCAGGAGCTCAGGGAACAGGCCCCCGACGGAGGCCGCCTCACGGAACAACTGGATTTGCTGCAAGTGAGGATTTACATAAACAAACACAACTTTAAGTACACGTACAACTTTATACAAAGATTAGATTTGATTGTGTGGTCAGAATGTAGATAATGATTTTGAAGTTTGGCAAAAAACAAGATACATAATTAACAATTTCGCTAATTGAATATAACGATTTTACAGTTTTGTATTACCAGTATTTATTACAAATATAATTATTATTATTTGATAAACGTTAACGCACTAAAGCTTCCGAATTGATAGAACGCTCAAATCGTAATTAAAAGAGTATCAAAACAAATGATAAATATTTAAATATATAGTGATAAACATAACTTCGTTAGTTTTACACGTGAAAATCCTTTGATATTTTGACAGTTTGTTGAAATTATTCTAAATAAAATTACTTTTTCTTATTATACTCTAGTAACTGTGATAAAAAAAATTGTTTGGACTAACTGAAATAATAAAAAATACATAATCAATAGGAACTTTAAACTTTGTACATTTTCTTTTTTTACGCAAGCTCCCCGCACTGTACGCGGACCGTCCGGATTCCGAATCAAGTAAAACGATACATCATTCATTACTAGTGTGATTTATTAACAAACGTGTTTTTAGTTTGTCTTTGTTTCATTCTAAATATTTAACACGCTACCGCTGTCTATTTGAATCTGTGCTACATTTAGCTTTCGTGTTTTTTTTTTCTTTATTATCGTAATCTTTATAATGTAAACTGAGACTCTATACACATATAAGGAATGGACTAAGTATTTCTTAGTCAACTGTCAGATTAATTTGAATGCGAACTACCGGTCGCTCAATCGTTTCGTCCCTTTCACACTTTTCTGCCCATCGGCCGCATGATGTCGCTTCCTCTCTTTCTAGATTTAATTTCACGCAGATATTGCATCCTGAGCATTATCACCGATAAATAAGTTCGTGTAGATTTTTTTTCAAAGGATAATTTACAAATACAATAACATGTTGCACTATAATTTGAACATTAAATAAATTAATTCTCAGTCCATTCTCTATGTTCATAGTAGGAAGGACTAGGCGAAAAATAAAATGTCTTCACCTGATATAGTAATGTGTAAAAAAACTTGGGGATACAGGAAAAGTTTACCCAATTGGAGAAGAGATTGGAGTCGGCTAAGGACGATGAACAGCCGGAGGACGAAGAATTAGGCGAGGAAGAGATGCAGCAGTTCCCTGTCAGTGGGAGCGAGACGGAGGATATCGCGGGTCGCGTCACTCGCGCCACCAATGCCCTGCGTGAGGTGCAGCGCGCCTGTAACGTGGCGCTGCCCTCCCCGGCGCCGGCGCCGGCGCCAGACGCAGTGCGCGCGCAGCTCAGGGAATGTTTGGTGAGTACACTCTATCAGTGGGAGCGGGACGGAGGATATCGCGGGTCGCGTCACTCGCGCCACCAATGCCCTGCGTGAGGTGCAGCGCGCCTGTAACGTGGCGCTGCCCTCCCCCTCCCCGGCGCCGGCGCCAGACGCAGTGCGCGCGCAGCTCAGGGAATGTTTGGTGAGTACACTCTATCAGTGGGAGCGGGACGGAGGATATCGCGGGTCGCGTCACTCGCGCCACCAATGCCCTGCGTGAGGTGCAGCGCGCCTGTAACGTGGCGCTGCCCTCCCCGGCGCCGGCGCCGGCGCCAGACGCAGTGCGCGCGCAGCTCAGGGAATGTTTGGTGAGTACACTCTATCAGTGGGAGCGGGACGGAGGATATCGCGGGTCGCGTCACTCGCGCCACCAATGCCCTGCGTGAGGTGCAGCGCGCCTGTAACGTGGCGCTGCCCTCCCCCTCCCCGGCGCCGGCGCCAGACGCAGTGCGCGCGCAGCTCAGGGAATGTTTGGTGAGTACACTCTATCAGTGGGAGCGGGACGGAGGATATCGCGGGTCGCGTCACTCGCGCCACCAATGCCCTGCGTGAGGTGCAGCGCGCCTGTAACGTGGCGCTGCCCTCCCCCTCCCCGGCGCCGGCGCCAGACGCAGTGCGCGCGCAGCTCAGGGAATGTTTGGTGAGTACACTCTATCAGTGGGAGCGGGACGGAGGATATCGCGGGTCGCGTCACTCGCGCCACCAATGCCCTGCGTGAGGTGCAGCGCGCCTGTAACGTGGCGCTGCCCTCCCCGGCGCCGGCGCCGGCGCCAGACGCAGTGCGCGCGCAGCTCAGGGAATGTTTGGTGAGTACACTCTATCAGTGGGAGCGGGACGGAGGATATCGCGGGTCGCGTCACTCGCGCCACCAATGCCCTGCGTGAGGTGCAGCGCGCCTGTAACGTGGCGCTGCCCTCCCCGGCGCCGGCGCCGGCGCCAGACGCAGTGCGCGCGCAGCTCAGGGAATGTTTGGTGAGTACTATTCATGTTCTCCAGATTAGGGATCAATATAAAGTATGGAATTAAAATTACATAGTGTATTACATACCTTCAATTTAGAGCAAGATCGTAAGAAAATTACTTCAAACCGGTCTATGTATTACTCTGATTCTTTACTTACAAATTTCGGTATTTTACAAACTTTTGTCACTGCTCCATCTTGTCCAAATTCTCGTTAAATACAGTTTTCCATTTATTTGGTTTTCCGAAATTTGAAAAAAAATACAATAGATGTATAGACATATTACATCGATTCAAAACGATGGGCAACATTGCTCAAGTGCACACTAGGCTCCCGATTCTTTTGTTCACATTTTCTTAAACAAGTATAAAAGTGCTTCAAAGTAACATCAGTGTATACTTCCACCCGTGGATATCATAAATTACCAAGATTCTATAAATTTGGAATTCTAGACCCACTAACTGCTAAACATTGTTTTGTAGAATAAGTACCCTAACTTTTTAATTATTTCCTAAGTCAGAATCAACTGACAGTGTCAATTTGATTTTGACAACTATCAATTCAACTGACAGCACTTGATTCGATTTTGACACTGCGGAAGTGTTGCCATTTTATAAAAACTCCTCCCAAAAAGTGGAAATCGCGACGGGTACGTACCTCAAGCATAAATCATGACTGTATGTAATGGCTGTCGCCTCGTAGTCATCGACTTGGAAAAAATTACTTGTTCCGTATGTTCAAGTGTCTACCATTATGGCTGCGTGAATATTTCCAAAGATAATTATGGCAAACTGTCTATCAGGACGAAGAATCTGTGGAAGTGCCCTGAGTGTAAGATGCCACGAAAGAGATGAGATAATAGCAATACTCCAGTCAAAGAAGACGCGGCTACCTCAGACGATCACCTTCAGCAGGATGTACTCGAAAAAAAGCTGAATCAATTCGAGTCTTCTATTCTATCCAAGATGGAGTCCCTGTTTAGATCAGAAATCGAAGCCCTTCAGAGAGATATAAAACTTATCCCAGAGCTATTTAAATCCGTCGAGTTCTTATCAGCTCGATACGACGAAGTAAATTCCGAAGTGGTTAAGTTGAGGACTGAGTCAGCAGCGCTTCGTGATGAAAATGCTAAACTTGGAGCCTCGGTCAAGGAACTGTCTTCTAAAATTAATACTATTGAGCAACATGCGAGGGACTGTAACCTGGAGATACAGTGCTTGCCTGAATTTCCACAAGAAAACCTCGTAAATACCGTTTTACAACTTGGCAGAGTTACATCTTGCCCATTGGAGGAAAAGGATATAATGTCCTGCTCAAGAGTTGCTAAGAACAACCCAAAATCATCGAGACCGAGGTCGGTCATCGTTAAACTACCCTCGCCTCGTATTCGCGACAGCATACTTGCCTCTTGCTTAAAATATAACAAGGCTAATTCAAAAGAAAAACTAAACAGTGCAGTGTTAGGCTTGGCAGGAGATAGTGTACCGATATACCTAAACGAGCACCTTTCTCCAGTTAACCGTTCATTACATGCCCAATCCCGCTTGGCGAAGAAGGAAAGTAACTACAAATACCTTTGGGTCCGCAACGGTCGCATCTTTATGAGGAAGAATGACGAATCACCTGTAATTTGGATACGCAATGCTGAAGTTGTTCAGGAACTCAAATAATAATCTAGTGCTCACACTATATAGTATATATATTTTGTCAAAGTATGTTAAGATTCGTAGTGATTGTATTTTTGGTCAGCTAAGTATTTACTATCAAAATGTTCGGAGCATACGAGGTAAACTGAAAAATTTGTATTTGGCGAGTCTAAATTGCGGTTACGATATTGTTGTGATGACGGAGACATGGCTGAATGACGGCGTTTTTGATGCGGAGGTACTTAATGACAGCTATCGCATCTATCGTAGAGACCGTAACAGTACATCGTCCGGCAAAAAGGACGGGGGTGGAGTCCTTATAGCAGTGTCAAAGCGACTTCAATCTTGTCGGCTACCTCAACTGGAGAGTGTTTCTGAGGATTTGTGGGTTTCTATCACGGATTTAAACGCGGTGAAGTTGACAATATGTGCCAAGTACTTGCCACCACCCGTATCTTCAGAAATTCTACAGGACTCACTTGAGAACATTTCATGTGGCCTTTCATCTCTCGATACGAATAATATATTAATAATTGGTGATTTCAATATCGGTAATGTTGAGTGGATTCCTTGTGCCCGTCTCTCATCGACGTGTTCAGCTATGTCTCTAAAGGCAAAAAATTGTTCTCTTGATCAGTCACTATCTGACTTTTTGTCGTTACATAGTCTAACACAATTCAATAAGATCCCTAACCATAATAATAAATTCCTTGATCTGGTATTATCAACTAATAATACAATTAATACTTTGGCTGTCACTGACCCCCTAGTGCATCTAGATCCACATCACCCGGCTTTGGAAATCTCTGTTAATCTTTCACCACTTCGATTTTTGAAAAAGAAAACTTTTAATAAATTTAACTTCAAGCTAGCAAATTATTCAGATATTAACAAAGATTTATCCGCTATTGATTGGGATCATGAATTTAAGAACACGAATGCCGTTGATGGCATGGTTGAAACATTTTACTCGATAGTTGATTCAATAATTGAAAAACACGTTCCGAAGTCGTCTTGCAACTCAGGTAAGTACCCTATTTGGTACTCCAAAAATCTCATTAAGCTTATCCGTGAAAAGGAAAAACTCCATAAAAAAGTAAAATTGTACAATAATCCTGTTGATAGGTTCGATTACAGCGAAGCTAGATCTCGATGTCATCACCTAATCAAGAAATGCTATACAAACTATTTGAGAGAGGTTGAGGAGTCTATTAGTTGTGGAAATATTAAGGCGTTCTGGAGTTACATTAAAAATAAACGTAAAAATACTGATTCTATACCAGGTCAAATGTATTTGGATGGATGCAGGTATGATACCCCGAGTTCAATATGTAATGCGTTTGCTAAGCATTTTTCGTCCGTTTATGTGGCTGATGCTGATGGATCTCAAAAGCAAGATGTCGATTCAGATTGTTCCTTAAATAATATCCTTAACAATATCTCCATATCAGAAGTTAGTATAGAGAGAGCTCTGAAGGAATTGGATCCAAAGAAAGGAGCCGGACCAGACGGTATACCACCTATATTTCTTCGTAGCTGCGCGTCTGCTTTATCTTATCCACTATATCTCATATTCAGCCACTCACTCTCTTCTGGGAATTTTCCGACACGATGGAAGGAAGCCAATGTTTTGCCAATCCCTAAGACCGGTGTATCTAATGATGTGCGAAACTACCGACCTATCTCATTACTGTCTGGTTTCTCTAAGCTTTTCGAAGCACTTGTTTGTCAGTATTTCGCTAATACTTTTAAATCTGTTCTTGCTTCGCAACAACATGGCTTTCGCCAGAAAATGTCTACTGTCACTAATCTCTCCTGCTTCATAACGGATTTGTCAGAGGAGCTAGACCGGGGCCGACAGGTGGACGCTATATACACTGATATAAGTAAAGCATTTGATAAGGTTAACCATATAATATTATTAAAGAAGCTTCATTCAGTCGGTGTGCATGGTTCCCTCTTGAATTGGTGCCGATCTTATCTTGTTCGGAGGTGTCAAAAAGTTGTTGCATGTGGCTATGAGTCGAGTCCCTTTTACGTTCCGTCAGGCGTCCCCCAGGGTTCTCATCTAGGACCTATTTTCTTTTTAATATTTATTAATGACCTTGTCAATGTCGTTCAACATTCGGAATGTTTACTGTTTGCAGATGATTTAAAAGTTTACAAAACAATTGAAAATTTTAATGAATCCATATTACTGCAACGGGATCTCAATAGAATAGCTGAGTGGTCTTCAATTAATAAACTACCATTGAATCCGGATAAATGCAAACACATAAAATTCACAAAAAAGCGCAACGCTTTAAATACATCATATTCTATCAATTCCCATCTTTTAGAAGAAGTTTCGACCATTCGTGATCTGGGGGTTGTTTTAGACCGTAAGCTTTCTTTTCGTCATCACTATGATCACATCATAGCAAAATCTTTAAAGCTTCTTGGTTTTATATGGCGTAACTGCAAGCGTTTTAAGAAAATTGATGCTCTAAAGTATGCTTATTTTGCATTGGTGCGCAGTTCACTTGAGTATTGCTCGAGTATTTGGAATCCTAAATATAACTGTCATATAGAACGATTAGAAAAGGTCCAGAAAAAGTTTCTATTTTTCTTGTCTGTGCATCAGGGTAAAAAATATAATTTGTTATCTTATAGGGATAGACTGGACTATTTCAAGTTTACTTCGCTGGAGGATCGTAGGTGGGTGGCCGACCAGGTCTTGTTGTATAAAATTGTAAACAGTGTAGCAGAGTGCCCAAAATTACTGAGTAATATGAAATTTAAAATACCTCGACCAAACACCAGAATGGTAAATTTTAAACCCTTTTCATTGAAATTTTTTAGAACTAAGTTAGGCGCACATAGTGTGCTCAATAGACTGTGTGACGAGCATAATAGGTTTTGTAGATCGATTGACTTGTATGCTCTTTCTTTGTTACGTTTTCGAAAATTACTGTATCTGATAAGAGCTCCAACTATAAGCCAAATTCAAATTTAATTTATATTCCATTTAACTTAGTGTTTTAATGCATTTTTGTTTTAATTTTTAGTATAGTTTAAGTTTCTTGAATGTGCAATGGTTATTTATGATATTGGTGTGGTGAGTTGGTTGTTACAGGCGAATAGACGAATGTAAGAATTATATTAAATATCCTTTAGTTATAATGCCAGTGTATTGCCTTTATATATATATGTATTTCCGTTTTTTTTTTGTTCATGTTGAGTTTGCCAGTAATTGTTTTTGCACTATGCTGAAAATTGTTACATATAAGTGTGATTATGTAAGTTAAGGTGTAAAAATGTTGGCAGACCTTTAATAAATAAATAAATAAATAGATTCAAATTTCATTCCATTTAAAAAATATATTTTTTCAATCTTTGCACTAATCGTCAAGACAATAAATAAAATTACACACATTGTACGGTTAACGCGGCCGTAGTTACATTATCGTATTACCTACAAACCTCGTGACCGCTAAATTTATAAATGTTCTAATCACAAAGTTTTAATCGCCATTCAATAGCGGTCTGCGCCATTATTCGACCACTTCCGGTTACGCGATCACCGCGTAATGTGCTTCCGTTTGATTGTGGTCTCTGCATTCCTAGTATCACATTACATCACAACTTTGGGAGACAATTAGCCTATCAAGGCGTAAATAATCTTTTCAACAAATAGAATTTTCATTAATCGTTTAGTTAAAACTTTTCTTTTTTATTTTAGTTACTTTTAGCAGGTATGAGTCCACTGAAAAAAAATATCAATAATAAATATGTACTTTATGAGTTTCTTGCATCCATTCTTCTCATTAGCTAAAACAGTCTTAAATGGATGGGGAAAATATTGTAGGAGAAAATATTGGAAGATTCAAATAAGCTTTGAATAAGTCATTTTGAATATGGTATATTTTTTTTTTTACAAAATAACAAGTTTTTTATAAAAAACAAGAAATGGGTTTATCTGTCTGTCTTTCTAGATAGAACTTTGCAACTTAAAGTTCGAATATTATTAACTTTATAGCTATCTGTCTTTTCAAGGCAGCTCAAAAACCGTTGACATTGCCTTTGATTCCATTTAAGTATGTCGCCTCAAAATAATAACAGTCGTCAAAAATAGTAACAAAAATAATGTTTCAAATAAATTTTGATTAGATATTTTTATATTTTAACTATTCAAGTATTTTGCTATTGTCTATCACAGTGCAGTTGAGTTGATACATTGGGTTTTCTATGCCTGTGAATAATCGTATTGCGGCTGGGCATTAATCGGCTGCTATCCGTTCGTAATCAGATCAACGCCGGCCGCAGTGCGTGATACGGCGCGCGGCGCGCGGACCTCACGTGCGTTCCTTCAAAGGATTCTGTGCTCAATCTCGTGTACAAAATGATAAAGATTCTGTTTATTATTCACACTTTCAACTGTAAAATTTTTTCCTTAACTTTGACAAAAAAGATGAGCCATTCATCCTAATATTATGTCATTCTGGATTAAGAGCCTGGTTCGTTTATAGAAGCGATTTTTGAAATATATACTTACTTTTTTTCAAATTGTGTGCCCAAAAGTGAATCGTATTATATTTTTGATAAATACAATTAATTGATCTCTGAACATTTTATAACAATCCAAAGAATAGTTCGTGATTTGTTTTTGTTTGAAGTAACATAGCATAATATAAGTTTCCGAATGTTGATAAACAGTATATTGTGTAAACAGCTGCAGTGGTTCATTGTCGTTCGTATAATTTTATTACATTGAATAAGTATTGGTATGTGTGGTAAATACTTCCCGTTGTATCAGAAAAACCAAGTGTTAGTCTAAAAAGGTTTTATTCAGCAATAACATATAACCGAGACAGAATGAGTTGGGATTTGTTTTATTTGCTGCTGACGTTAGCTGTGCTTGCGTGCAAGTGGCTCGTAAGTATATTTATGAATGGATGGTGAAGATGAATGTTTGTTTTACTAAAATGTAATGGTATAGATCATGATACTCTCCATATTTATCCATGGGTTCATGGTATTCTTTCAGACTCTAAGACTTTACAAAAATAATGCAACTTAAAAGTAAAAAAATATTACGTGACAGAATTCGCATCGGAGAAGAGAGCCATTATTGTTTAGCTCAATTACAAAACGGAATCCATTCTTCAGTTTCCCTTTAAAGTTCTGTACGATTTTGAGTTTGTGAATAGAAGGGTGGGGAAATGCTTGTAGATTTTTTAAGGAAATTAATATCGAGGAGATTCAGGTCTTGAAGAGCTTATGTATCGATCGATTAGGGTATTTCAAAACTGTGACCAAAAGAAGACACCCAGCAATGTAAAGCGTGTATTTTTGCATTTGTGCATCTCCTTGCGACACCCGGTCTCTTCCCTTCCATATCGTAGAACCAGTTTTACCTTCACTCTCAATACTTGCGAACGTGTTCCAGAAATTCTACCGCACATTGAGCGAGATGAAGGCGGAGGTGGAGAGCGTTATAAAGGCGGGGCGGCGCGCCACCGACGGCGGCGGGGACGGCAGTGGGGGCGGCGCCGAGCTATCCAGGCGAGTCGACGCGCTCAAACAACTATACAACAAGCTGGGGGCACAAGTCACCGCCGCCAAGGCGAGGCTCGAGGTACGTATAGCTCACATCATGCCCCGCGTTATATGTGAGCGGGGCCGGGGGAGGGGCAGGGGGAGGGGCAGGGGGAGGGGGAGGGGGAGGGGGCGGCGCCGAGCTATCCAGGCGAGTCGACGCGCTCAAACAACTATACAACAAGCTGGGGGCACAAGTCACCGCCGCCAAGGCGAGGCTCGAGGTACGTATAGCTCACATCATGCCCCGCGTTATATGTGAGCGGGGCCGGGGGAGGGGGAGGGGCAGGGGGAGGGGGATGGGGCGGCGCCGAGCTATCCAGGCGAGTCGACGCGCTCAAACAACTATACAACAAGCTGGGGGCACAAGTCACCGCCGCCAAGGCGAGGCTCGAGGTACGTATAGCTCACATCATGCCCCGCGTTATATGTGAGCGGGGCCGGGGGAGGGGGAGGGGCAGGGGGAGGGGGAGGGGGAGGGGGAGGGGGCGCCGCCGAGCTATCCAGGCAAGTCGACGCGCTCAAACAACTATACAACAAGCTGGGGGCACAAGTCACCGCCGCCAAGGCGAGGCTCGAGGTACGTATAGCTCACATCATGTTGTATCATCGTTTTCGCTACCAAAACTAGTTTATTATACTCTTTATTGCATCATATAGTTCAAAACAGAAAAAGAGTTTAGATAAAATGAAGATTCTATTGGGCACATCCATGATTGATTGGTAATTGTGCTTTTAGTTAACAGTCTAACTATACATTGTCCACATTTGTAATTATACTCAATAGCTGAAATAAGTTCGTTAGCATGATTCAGGGTTCCCAGCATTCACATTCCGTCGCGTCTCGCAGTATTTGTAATGTTTACTATTGTAGTTTTTGCATTATGCAATGTTGTCGAGTCTACCGTTGCAATCGCCATTGAATTTGGGAATTGAATGAAAGGTCATTGTGATGAGTTTAACTAGGAGTATTATGTAGAGATCGGAGATCAATGTAGGATTTGTTGAATTTTTATGAATATGAGAACATAATGTGTATTTTTCACGAAGTGTACACGTCATTACATACGTTTACTGTATTTCTGTCTCACTCACACACTCGTTATCTTTCATTCCTTTTGTTTGTTCATATTCGGATACGCTTCAGTAAACTCTTTATGTGTCCGGATAAACACCAATCTAATGCAGCTAAGCTGAGTTCAAAGAGAATTAAATAATGAATAAAATAAACAAATATTTCTGTCAGACTGGAGTACAAATGCTCGTATTCATCGCACAAACATCTGCCCCCACCGGTATTTGAACTCGGGACCTCTCGGCGACACCATGAAACCCGGCGTACAAACCACTCGGCCGCGGAGGTCGTCAACAAAAGAATTATATGATTTTGTAGCGAGTCAAACCAGTCTTTCTAACGCCACAATGATAGACGTTTTACTTAAAATTTCAACAATCACAAGCACCGACACTGATATTATTGCGGCAGAGCGCTTTGGTAGCGGCACGGGAACTACAATCCGACCTGTCATCGCTGGAGGGATGGCTTCAAACTCTACCGCCGCAGCCGCCCCGCGCGAAACTGGAGCTGGAAATGTCTCGCGTGTCGGCGTTGAGAGATCGCCTCCACGACAACTACGATCGTCTGGCGGCCGCCTGCGACACGAAGTCGCTGGAGCAGCTGCGCGCGCGCCGAGACGCCGTCGACGCGCGCTGGCATGCCATCCGCGCCCAGCTGGCCACCGACACCAGCGTCGGGACCAAGGAAGCTGACAACGAACACAATGTGAGTCAGCGCACACTCTCAATGTACATATTTTGTGAGTTTAAGGGCAAACACACTGGTGTCAATTCTGGCGTGATTCTCTAAACTTAAAACTAAATTTAAGGTCAGTCTCACCTTTTCGTTCTGTATACTTATATAGTATATCTGTTGTCAAATTTAAGTTTAGCTTTGGAGAATCATGCCAGAATCGACATCGCTGTTTAGTTTCGAATCTAGCAAATTTGCTAAATCTCGATTCGACTAAAACTAGACGTATCCTATAGAAAAATGACTAAAGTCAAAGAAAATATAACTAGAAAAAATTCCACGCGGCTCGAGCTAAGGCAACGATTTAGCTTTAACGGCTAAAGGAATTTCAACGCGGCCGTCAGGGCCGCAGTAGCATAATTGGTCAGTGCGTTTGCCCGGATAGCGAAGGGTGCGGGTTCGAGTCCGGTCTGCTGCCTGGCCCGCGTGGAGTTATAATTTCTTTAGATTTAAACATCTAGCTGCTAAATGCTTAAAAAATAAAAATTATGACTAACGTCAAATTTTAATTATTGTATGGACCAGAACTAGTTTCAGTTAAATTGAGATTTAGCAAAATTGCTGCAAGTGAACCTTAGCGGTTTTCATGTTGTTTTGTTCTGTCGTTCTTTTGAATTAAGAAATTGACATATAATTATAGTACATAAAACGAATTGTAAAGTGTAAACACCCATACCATGATTTCAATTGATTCATCGATTATTAAATTCATCGTGATAAAACGAACTGTAAAGTGTATATACCATACCAATTCGCTTTTTATTGCAATTTATTTGTAATTATAAAGAATACATCAAATCACTTTCACGCTAAGAGTATTACTCCATAATAAACACAAAAAAATATTGTAAAGTAATTTTATGCCAGCACCTCACTTGAATATTCGTATTTGCTATTTGTACACCCGACATCATTATGTTCTATACATTCCATATGGAGCATGATGAGGACAGACTGTTGTCAAACTTAGAAAGGACAAATACGGATAGCCAAGTGAAGTGGCGGGTTACATGCATTATTCATGGGATTCAGCCTGTCGTCGTGAGTTGTGCGATCATATAACGCTTCGTCCTCATTGTTCAAATGTCCTTGTGCACGTAGTTTAGTCGCTTCGGTAGCCGCCGGCAGTGTGTGGACTCTAACCCGAGTGTGATAATAATAATAATAATAAAATAACAACTGACCAAACTCGAATGCGGTGGAGAAGTTTCGAAGAATGCGACGCATCGCGTGTGTTGTTTCCTCTGTACATATTATATTATCGTCATCATCGCTGGCTCATGTAAATAAACAATGTGGTTGTGGTGTGCATTATAAAAGTGTGGCTTAACCTTCACGGCGATCACCCATCATCAGCACCGGAACTCATCGCACCAATCACGGGATTCTAACGGTTTGAACTAACATTGTAAATAACGACGGTGTTTAACGATCGAGGATCACATAGGGGAATAAAGCAACGCTCGTTTTGCAGGCCGACTACGAAAGATTGACGGACACCATCAAGCGCCGGCTCGACAGCCCCTTAAATTCTCCCGATACCGAACGACCGGAACTCAAAAAGTCAAAAATCCCCCTAGCTTTACGAAGCCCCGCCCCCATTCGTAAAGAAGTCAAAGAAGGTGGCTCCAGAAGTCGCGGCTCGTCATTAGAAAGGGTCGTTCGGCCCGCTCCCAGCCCTCTCACTCCCACTAGCCCCGGTATTCCTACCAGCCCCGGGTCTGAAGCTAGCACCGCCCCGGTCTCCCCGGAAGAAACCAAACCCAAGGACAGCAGCACGTTCAATTTACTACAAGACAGTGACTTATTTACTCAGATATCCGAGGATAAAATCGAAGCTCGCGACCAACCTGCAGAAACTAGATTATCGCCGAGCGATCGAACCGTCGATCCTTGCCAAGTAGTAGCAGTCAAAGAAGTGGAAATAGTCCGCGGAATCGTCAACAGTCCGGTGAATTCCGAGGAATTCCCGTCAGAAACTGTGCGGACTTCCTCGGGCCCCGTGGCACAGAAGGTGGAGACCGTGGAACTGCCGGATGACAGTGAAGACGAGCCGGCGGTCACTACTTTTGTAGTGGAAGTGAGGGAAGCGGAGCGGCCTATGAAACCCACGCGCGGAGTGCTGACGCGACGGGAGGAAATTGCGATTCCCGACCTTATTCCCGGACACGAGCGTGATTTTTCGAGCGGCACACCGCCGCCTACGCCCATGGAAGAGGGAGAACAATGCCCGCCGTTGCTTCGATTGCCAGAAACGACAGAGAAGCCTCACGAGAACATAACTCCCCCTTCAGGGTCCGATGAAGCCATTTACTCGGAAGTGGAAGACGCTCAGGTAAAACTAGTTTAAGACGAAAGGGACAGGTTTAGATCGAATGATTCATTTAAATAATATTTGAGAAATAATTCTAGTAACCATCAGGGAATAGAGAAAACATTGTGAATAATGAAAAATATTTATTTACTAGGTATTCATTTGATTATTTGACGCAATGCAATAAATTGATATTTTTTTGTTTATATATAGGCAGTACTTATTCATTCATCTTTACACAGAAATCATAAAATAAATTAGTGAGTTATAATAAAGTTCTCGTTGTCAGTTTCATCGCTAATAACAATACAGTAAGACAACACGCTACATAATGACATAAAAGTTATTGCTCGTATTTGAGTACGGCTGTTAGAGTTTAAACATTGTATTGCGGAACATTTTCATCGGTTTTTGAAATGTTGTCAGTTTGCAGATAGTAGGTATAGATCGCGCCAAATTTCTAGTCCACTCTGAACGCTGCACAATTCGCGTTGGAGCTCGTATTGAAAGGGACGAAGGTTGCGTTTAGTGCTGTTCACCTGCGCGAAATAACCTGAGAGCGGAGTATAATTTTGGCGCGATGTATACGTGATATGATTGTGGTGTGTGGTACAGTCGATGCCCCTGGGCGCGCCCCTGGGCTCGTCGACGCCGGCGCGCGGCGCGCAGGTGGTGGGGGTGGCCCGGAAGCAGCTCTCCTCCCCCGCGACCCCGGCGCCTTCTATGCCGGAGGAGAAATATAACCGGACTGAAGACAGCGACACTGTAAGTCACCTTCTTCTGTATCAACACACAACTCATGCCACACTGAATAAAGAAAATCAATTGAGTAACAATGAAAGATCGATTGAGTAAGTTATATTGTTAAACTAATGGAATCAGATGACATTTATGCATATTTTTTTATTAATTAAATTCTTTTGTAATTTTTATCTTGAAGACTGTATATTGCGATACCCTGACAGTGTTCATGTTAGGTACTATAAGCATTTTGTAACCATCGATGTAACCACATGAGTGCAATAAATTGAATTGAATTAAATTGCATTGAAATTTGACACACATGTAGCTATTATGATGTAGGCGTCCGCTAAGAAAGGATTTTACAAAACTCACTCCTAATGTGGTATAAAATGCTTCGTTTTGTGGAAATCATATTAAAGATACAATCACGAGTTACAGCTTACATAAAGCGTTATTACATTACCACTTACTTAATTGACATTGCCCGGCCATTTTTAACAACAACGTTCATATCGGCACTCTAGTCTGCTATTGACATCAGTCTGTCCTTAACATTCCATATAGATCATGATAAGGACAAACAGTCGTTAAATTTACAAATAGCAAATACAAATAGTCGAGTGAAGTTCCCCCATGACACGTAAATGTTTGCAGTTACCGCCTACATCCCGTATCTCGGACTCCGCCGCCGATAGTTCCGAAGACTCGGCGTCTGAACTACAACAAACATTCGGCGCCGCCTGCGAGCCTCACGTGATCGAATGGGTTAAAGATGCCACCGTCACTGCCCGCAAGATGGACGTCATGTTACTGACATTACGCGCCGCCGCTGCTGTCAGAGACCCCGCCAAGAGATTGGAGGTAAACTGACACTTTCAGGATAGGAATGTTATTTGCAGCGCAGCATTAAAAAGGCTTTGAGCCTCACGTGTTCACGCGAGGTGGATGTTATGTAACTTACATTAAATGGCTGGGCTAACAGATGACGACATGAACAATGATCCTTTGATTGATATTATTTAAAGGTTACAGTTTTTGAGTCATTGGAATCCAATCGAAAGAACGTTTAAATCTAAAGAATACGACGGGACTCAAACCCGCATCCTTCGCTAACCGCCTGGATAGCGAATGGTGAGGTTTTCTTCTAGTATTTTTTTCTTATAAATTAAAAATCTAGCACAGTTAAATGCTTAAAAAATATAAATATAAAGCAAGAATGTTTTCCATAGATTTCTATCGATGGAATATATGAAAAAAAAAAATCTAAAAGGAGAATTTCATGAATTCTATGCTTATAATAATAGCGCCACGTAACAGTGGTAAATCTTAGAACTAAATCTTTTCTTAAAACTATGAATTAAAAGCGCTTCCAAGAAAGTTCGATCTAAATAAAAAAAAATACGTAAAGGATACGCACCGTGCCATATACCGCGGTAAAATTTTACCGCACGCTCTGTTGAATGGTGCGTAATTTTTAACTTTCAAACAATGTAAAGAACCTCCGTAAATGCATTATTTTAGCAAACGTGTTGAAAAAGTTATTTACTTGAATTTAAATTGAATCAAGAAAAATATTTTACAAGAAAAAAAAAATTAACATTTAACGACTGAATTGAAAATAACTAAATTCATTTAGGACCAGTTTTACCAATATGATGGCATTTTTATTCTTAATCCATCAAGTAGATTATTTATAATATTATAGTAATGGACACGTATTTTTTGTTCATTTACATAATCATACTATGACGGAGATATGTTGGTTCAAAATATTACAGGATGTCACGTCTTGGTACAATTTCTGTGTACGTGTCACGTACAGTAATCTTGTATATCTGCAGAGCAAGCATAACCTACTTTAATCACGTAGCTGTATCTAAGAAATGCATCATAATACGTGATTGTATTAACTATGTAAAAACACCTATTTTACATAATAAATCAATGCTCGTCATGCATTCAACAAGATCAGTTGTCTTCCTTCCTTCATCCTAATATCATTATGTTGGGGGTAACCCCTACATTCTGTTTAGAATTAACGTCACGAGTTTCCACTCCCAAACTTTGACGGACTCAATTGAATTTCGTTTACCTCGTCATTACAGTATTATTACAGTATTAAAGTTTATATTATATAACAGACAAAAGTTGCTGATATATACCAGTCTTTCTATTCAAGGCCTGTGAAACCATATCATTTGTATGTTATTCCAAAAAAGTTATCGTACCAGAGACTTAATTGGCTAACTTCATAGCTGATCTGTACAGTTCTAATCGTTGACACAGTGTAAAATTAATCTTTTCTTACAACTCAACTGGGCTCAACGGTTTTTCCGCTCGCATTGTAACGTCTGCCTACGTTAGTAACCTCCACCTTACAGAAGATCACTTAAACCGTGTCACCTTTCGGTGCTGATGTTTCTATCGGTGAGAAGTTTCAGAAGAACTCCACGAAGTAGGGAATTGAGTCAGAGTACGCAACGGCGGGAGTAAAGCTATGGGGGCCGCTTTCCATCAGGCGAACCAAATACTCGTTTGCCACTCTTTTAACATCTTATATATAAAATTCTCGTGTCACAATGTTAGTTACCGTACTCCTCCGAAACAGCTTGACCCATTTTTATGAAACTTTATATGCATATTCCGTGGGTCTGAGAATCGGCTACTATGTATTTTTCATACCCCTAAGTGATAAGGGTTTTAGATTTTGTTTTTTTTTATTTATTTATAATGGTGTCGATTCTGGCATGATACTCTAAACCTAAAACTAAATTAAAAATCAGTCTCACCTTTTTATACTGCATAGAGAATGACAAGGATACACTGCTGTCAAATTTAAGTTTAGGTTTAGAGAATCACGCCAGAATCGACACCATTGTGGCATTAAAAATACATAAGTATGTACAGCTCTAAATTTTTACCCTTCTACCACTCATATATTATGGCGATACGAAGTTCGCTGGGTCGGCTAGTAATTTATAAATATTACATGGTGGTGGTTAATGGGTGATGGTTTGTGTTATATAGATGCTGAAGAACCAGCAAGCGGCGCTGGCGACGGAGGCGGCGGAACTGATCTCCCGCGGGGACTCCCTCGTGTACGCGCAACACGCGCGGCACCAGCCCCTCGCCGACATGCTGCAGGCCGACTGCCTCGTGAGTCTCCACCATGTATACTACTAACTGATCTCCCATCTCCCATCTCCCATCTCCCGCGGGGACTCCCTCGTGTACGCGCAACACGCGCGGCACCAGCCCCTCGCCGACATGCTGCAGGCCGACTGCCTCGTGAGTCTCCACCATGTATACTACTAACTGATCTCCCATCTCCCATCTCCCATCTCCCGCGGGGACTCCCTCGTGTACGCGCAACACGCGCGGCACCAGCCCCTCGCCGACATGCTGCAGGCCGACTGCCTCGTGAGTCTCCACCATGTATACTACTAACTGATCTCCCATCTCCCATCTCCCATCTCCCGCGGGGACTCCCTCGTGTACGCGCAACACGCGCGGCACCAGCCCCTCGCCGACATGCTGCAGGCCGACTGCCTCGTGAGTCTCCACCATGTATACTACTAACTGATCTCCCATCTCCCATCTCCCATCTCCCGCGGGGACTCCCTCGTGTACGCGCAACACGCGCGGCACCAGCCCCTCGCCGACATGCTGCAGGCCGACTGCCTCGTGAGTCTCCACCATGTATACTACTAACTGATCTCCCATCTCCCATCTCCCATCTCCCGCGGGGACTCCCTCGTGTACGCGCAACACGCGCGGCACCAGCCCCTCGCCGACATGCTGCAGGCCGACTGCCTCGTGAGTCTCCACCATGTATACTACTAACTGATCTCCCATCTCCCATCTCCCATCTCCCGCGGGGACTCCCTCGTGTACGCGCAACACGCGCGGCACCAGCCCCTCGCCGACATGCTGCAGGCCGACTGCCTCGTGAGTCTCCACCATGTATACTACTAACTGATCTCCCATCTCCCATCTCCCATCTCCCGCGGGGACTCCCTCGTGTACGCGCAACACGCGCGGCACCAGCCCCTCGCCGACATGCTGCAGGCCGACTGCCTCGTGAGTCTCCACCATGTATACTACTAACTGATCTCCCATCTCCCATCTCCCATCTCCCGCGGGGACTCCCTCGTGTACGCGCAACACGCGCGGCACCAGCCCCTCGCCGACATGCTGCAGGCCGACTGCCTCGTGAGTCTCCACCATGTATACTACTAACTGATCTCCCATCTCCCATCTCCCATCTCCCGCGGGGACTCCCTCGTGTACGCGCAACACGCGCGGCACCAGCCCCTCGCCGACATGCTGCAGGCCGACTGCCTCGTGAGTCTCCACCATGTATACTACTAACTGATCTCCCATCTCCCATCTCCCATCTCCCGCGGGGACTCCCTCGTGTACGCGCAACACGCGCGGCACCAGCCCCTCGCCGACATGCTGCAGGCCGACTGCCTCGTGAGTCTCCACCATGTATACTACTAACTGATCTCCCATCTCCCATCTCCCATCTCCCGCGGGGACTCCCTCGTGTACGCGCAACACGCGCGGCACCAGCCCCTCGCCGACATGCTGCAGGCCGACTGCCTCGTGAGTCTCCACCATGTATACTACTAACTGATCTCCCATCTCCCATCTCCCATCTCCCGCGGGGACTCCCTCGTGTACGCGCAACACGCGCGGCACCAGCCCCTCGCCGACATGCTGCAGGCCGACTGCCTCGTGAGTCTCCACCATGTATACTACTAACTGATCTCCCATCTCCCATCTCCCATCTCCCGCGGGGACTCCCTCGTGTACGCGCAACACGCGCGGCACCAGCCCCTCGCCGACATGCTGCAGGCCGACTGCCTCGTGAGTCTCCACCATGTATACTACTAACTGATCTCCCATCTCCCATCTCCCATCTCCCGCGGGGACTCCCTCGTGTACGCGCAACACGCGCGGCACCAGCCCCTCGCCGACATGCTGCAGGCCGACTGCCTCGTGAGTCTCCACCATGTATACTACTAACTGATCTCCCATCTCCCATCTCCCATCTCCCGCGGGGACTCCCTCGTGTACGCGCAACACGCGCGGCACCAGCCCCTCGC